CTTCCATGAAAAATGAAAAATTATAATTGCTTACACAGTACTGCAGTTTTCACTAATTTTTCTTGATCGACAAGTGGTTCTCATTGACAAATGAAGATTTTTTATGGCTGAATATATATAGTGTGGTGATAAGTAAAAGCCTTAAATATGGAGTGATCTTTTTTAAGAGAAAGTGCAATCTTTAAAGAAAATGTAGGCTGATTGAAGTTATAATTTGTGGGAATTTGTTGTGTATCATATAATAATATGTGATGGAACAATTATGTAATGGTTTAGACAGAGTTATCTATGGGTTTCAGAGCAAATATTGTTGCGAAGTTGTTAGAGCACATAACAATGCTCGCAAGTATTCCAACTTATCCTATCATATATTCCTTGTTTAGGCCTCTAATTTTCATAAATATCCTCCCTCATATCTCCTGCAGATTAACATCATTATGGTACCTTGTAATCATTGTTCACTGAGCTTAATGAATTACATGCTCAAAGTTTTATGAGGAAGATCTCGAATCTGCCTACTTTGTTCAGAACCATCTTGATCTCATTGATTGCTTGTAGATGAACAAATATGTTTTGAATGCAAAAACTATTTTTTTGCAAATTTGCAAGTTGAAAATAAAATCCTTTTCTAAGAAATTTTGAAGGGTTTGTGAGTCGACAAGCCATATGATTATTAATTTCATGAAAAAAAAAACAGAATATAAAAAATTCAACTTTTTCAACTTTTTTACAACAAATGATCCCTACAAACCTTTTGAAATTCATTAAATATTAATGTTCAATCAATATTTCAATCCATTTTCAAAACAAGCTCTTTGCGCTGTTCTCAGAAGTACAAAACTAGTTAATGCTTGATATTTGTATTCCCCCTATTGTTAACATTTATACATAATAATCCTAGTCATTTAGTTTTACTTCTCTCTAAAATATAATTTTAGCCTTTGCAAAGCTTTTGAAAATTAATGAATTTTTTTTTCAAATCAATGTTCCAAGTTCATTTTCAAACTCCTTGTCGCCATCTAAAATATTCTGAAATGTTATCTAACTGTTAGTACTTCTTGCTTGTCTTCCTAATATAACATTATTCTGTAAAAGATTATTTTTGTCATCTATAACTCTGTAAACAAAACTTCTTTTCAGGTGTTCAATGGTATGCAAAGCAAAGATTGTAATTGCAGACATGGCATCTACTCAAAAACTAATATCAGTTATGGGCAAGAAGGCAACAAGAATGGCTATGTGGCTTTTCTTCCGAAATGCGAAACAGTGGATGCAAACCAGACCTTCAGTCTACATCCATTGATTACTGCTCATACTCCATTCCCGCGACAAAAATTCAAGAAGCTTTAAGCAAGCCTATGGCTATTTTGAAGGAAGATGAAAGCTTGAATGAGAGATGCCAACCAAACGTGTACATACAACATCTTCTAAGAAGCTTTTGCTCAGCTTGGAGATCTGAAGCAGTACGTGCTATCTTTAAAGATCTTGATTCGCTTCAATATCCGCCCGACATTATACTACAATGGCATCAGGACGATGGCAAGAACGAATGCTACGAAAATGG